AAATATTCACGAATATAAATGAATCAATTATATAAATTACAAACCCTTGACTATCCGTGAATTTTGAGTAACCAAATGTTGGATATTCAAAGAATATCCATTTCTAACCGTGAATATTCATGGATCCAACCTCTACTTTAATGTTAGTTGGTCTTCTAACCTTCACACAAATTTTCTAAATTTTACCACATAATTATTCTAATAAAAAAAATATATTTGGTGCTCTTGTAAATGAATTTCTTGCAAAACTTCAGAAACAAATTATACGGTACAGCATGAACTTCCATAATTCCTTTATCTAACGCTAATGTTTTATTAATCGATGTAACTCTCCGACATAAAACGTTGTGTAAAATTAATTAATTGGAAAATCAAATGCAATATATGCATTGTCTCTAATTTACCAATAAATATCATCCGGACGTTGCCCACCAGTATGTAAGACAATGTCCCATTCAAGTAGTATGTGCAGAACAGCATCTGTTCGAGGGTACTTTGGTTCCATCGCTATATTTGGTAATAAAAATAAGGTAATAAATCAATAGTTATACGTACGTACCCCACGGATATTATTCAAGAATTAGGTTCATTTTATCGGGATATTATTACGAAAATTGCTAAATGGTATTATCTTATTCTACGTACGTACTGTATCCAAGAAACTTTATAGTTATTTAATGTAACAGTAAATCAAAAAATTTATTGTTAAATGATTTTCGTGTTACATTGAATTAATTACTATAAAAGTCAAGAGAAATGTTTCGACTGATAAATTTTTATCCGGTTTAGATAAAACAGATTTTTTTTAGATAAAACAGATAAAGGATCCAACCTTTGGGTCAAATTTGTTGGGCGGGTCTGTATCATAAATAAAAGAGCACATAGTAAAGTAGTACAGTACAGAAATGCAAATTAGAATGAAATTTGTGCGTAAATTATGATTGTATGTCGATTTGTCAAAAGAAAAAATAATTTTTTTTTTAAATCAAAGTTGTTTTCCTTATAACCTATACTTACCCTAACGCGAAAAAAAAAAAAGAACAATACTAGTGCTTGCTTAACCCTAAAGGGTTACTTGTAAAAAATTTAAAATTTGTCTTTATGTACTGTACGATTAGCGATTAATCTCGTCATACGTACGTAAGTGCGTCCGTTATATCAGATATCGTACAGTAATGCTGTACGTACCGCTTATATATTTTGGTTTTATATCAGATATAGCATATATATGATACATAGCCACAGTATAATCTAGATCAAAGTTTTAGTCTCTATAAAATAGAACGATTCTAAATTTTTGCTCTATAATGTATTCTTATTATCGACATACAGTATTATTTAGTTATATTTGGTTTCTCTTAGATCGATAAAAGAAAATTTATAAAAATATATAGTACCGGTATAATATAATTATCTGTTTATTAATAAATCCTATATATATATTTTTTTTTTCGATAAAAAAACCCGAAGGTACGTACGTACGTACCAGTAAACTATGATAGTTAGATCAACTATTTGCATTGTTCTACATAGGGAAAGTTTTTTTTTGTTTGAAAATGGTAATTTTCAAAGATTATTTTTAGTTTTAGATAAAGAATATTATTATTATTATTACGTAGTTGTCATCCCTTTTAAAACGTAATGGTTAGAATGATTACTAAATTAGTGTATAGAAACTTTAAACCAGTATTTTTCTATATATATATATATTGAATTTGAAATAAAAACCGTTTATATCATTCTTTTTTTCGAAGTAGACTTTAAATTTTAGAATATATAAATATATATAATAACATAGAAAACAAAAAAAAAAAAATATTTAATTTTTTGATAAATTAAATATTTGATTATTAACATTCATTTATCATAAAAAATTATGGGTGTAAAATGTGGTAAAATAGAAGATAGTGAAGATAGTGAAGATATTAATTTCATAAAAAATGATTCATGCAATATACAACAATCAACAAATTTCGGTATTTGTAAAGATTGTCAAAGTCTGAATACAGATATTTATAAAAATTTTGGATGGTGTCATTTATGTAATTCTAAAAGATTTGAAAATGAATTTGTTAAATGGACAAGTTGTAATAAAGTAATTGATAGTTTTATTCAAGAAACTCAATTAAATGCTAATAGTTATCATAGAATTTTGGAATGGATTCCATATGATGCGATTGTTGACGTCGAGTATATTGGAAGAGGTTGTTATGGAACAGTATTTTCCGCCACGTGGAAGCAAGGGAATATTTTGTACTGGAATAAAGGAAGGAAAAAGTGGGCTAGGAATTCTAATATGAAAGTTGCTGTAAAATGTATTGATAATTCAGTTAATATTACATCTGAATTCTTTAATGAGGTAAATATATTATTCATAATATATTATAATTTATATTTTTAATGTTTTACCTTTTTTTTTACATAATAAATTTTTCTTATCTGTTATTTAGTTACGTGCTTACCTTCAATGCGATTTTGAACTTCGAGGAATGATTCAATATTATGGTATTACTCGAGATCCTCAAACTAATGACTATTTAATTGTCAGTGAATTTGCTAATAATGGAAATTTACGAAGTTTCCTTCGACATAATCATCATTTGTTAAATTGGGAGAAACGTTTATGCCTTTTACTTAAGATTTCAATGGCACTTCAAGATATTCATTCAGGTGAATTTATTCATCGAAATTTACATAGTGGTAACATACTAAGAAATAATGACGATATTAAAATAAGTGACTTTGGATTAAGTAGATATGTTAAAGATAATATTGGAATTTATGGAGTTTTACCATATGTTGCTCCCGAAATTTTACATGGTAAACCACATACTAAAGCATCTGATGTATACAGTTTAGCAATAATAATGTGTGAAGTTGCTACAGGAATTCCACCATTTAGTAATAAAGCTCACGATTATGATCTTGCAATTGGTATATGTGATGGAATTCGTCCACCATTTACAGAAGGGACACCAAAAGCTTTTACGACACTCGTAGAAAGATGTTGGGATTCTGATTCAACGAATCGCCCAGAAGTTCAACAAATTACAGAAATGTTATTCCGTTGGCATTTTAGTTTAGAACAAGAGAGATCGACGGATGTATGCGATACTTTTCGTAACTCTGACATTAATGTGAATTCACGACAGCAACATCGTGATCGATTGACCTGGAGATTTCATCCACAATCTTGTTATACGAGCAGGTTACTTAATTTCAGTAATCTTCCAGAACCTACAAATTTCTTTACTCGATATTGTTATGATTCTGCATTCGGAAGTACTCAAAGTAAGTATATATACTATATCTAATATATATATATATACTGTATATATAACTTATATATATATATATTTCTTGTTTTAACAATATTTTTTTATATTTATGAATTTATAGACAGCTTCAGTCCATATGCTAATGAAAATTTGGATGGTAGATAAAATTATAATTTTTTTATACCCATGTTAATCAGTCTTTTGGGAATTGCCGTCTTTCGAGATGATCTTTTATAAAAAATATTCATTTATTAAATTTACTTAATGGAAATATCGATAATAGATGTTTAAGGAAGTGATATATATTACAGTATTAGCTAATATTAAAATGCGCTATTCCCTTCTAATATATATTATAAAATTTTCATCTCATCTTAATTAATATTTGTCACTCTTCTTATTGCTTATTTCCATTAAGAAAATATGTATATAGTATTTGTAGCTTATAAAAAGTCATTTAGTCAAAACGGCAATTTCTTTAAAACTGATTAGTTCGATTAACATTTTCGATGATATATTATTTTTTTAATAAATCTTTCAATTATTTGAAATGATAGAAGATATATATAGTCCTCCAAGTCCTCAAATTGAACTTGAACAATTAAGAACACCCTCAATGGCACTCTCAGATCCTATATATACATCATTATTACGTAAACACTTTCGAGGCGATAAGATATTCTTTAATGAATCAGAATTAAGTTCAGGTTTGTATTATTTATAATTAACATGAAATTCTTATTATAATTAACGCGAAATAATTATTTTTTTTTCATGTAAATAACGCGAAATTCTTGTTTAACTAATTATCATAAAAAAAAAATATTACAGACAATGAAAGTGTTTATTCACAGGAAATGTCACCCGATTTTTCCGACGCAGCATCATTACGTTATTCTAAAGCCATAACCACTGAATTAGAACGTCGATCAACACCGGACATAGGAGGTAAAGCATCTCGATACTCGTTAGCATTAGTTGCAGAACTTCAACGATGTACTACACTAGAAGGTTTGAATGGTCAAAATCAAAAAGTGAAACCTCAAAACTATTTATCTACAAGAGGAGCATTACTTAATGATACGAGGAATATGGTAATGTATAATAAAAGACATAAAAAAAATACATATAATAGATATGACCAAAATGCGTCTAGTAAGGGACGGAAAGAAATGGTACAAAATTATCATAATTCAACTTCACATAAATATTTAATGAAACCAACTGAGAAAACTGGTATACAACCACCATCACCACAACGTCCAAAAGAAATTTTACTTCAAGATGATGTTATTGCTTATCAGAATTTTGAAAATGGAAAATTTGAAAAAATTGAAGAAAATGTGGATCTGGAAAATATTGACGTATTACAATTCGTTAGAAGACAACCTACTATTCAACGAAGTAAGTATTTTTTTTTAAAAAAAATTTTTTTTAAAATCGAATTTTGATACTCATATCTTTTTAATAACAGCAAGGAAAGCAAAAACCAATTCTATTTTCGTATCAAAATTTGATCATAAAACTGTCTCTACAAATTCGACACCAATTCCACCAATTCGTGTATAGGGATGGCAAATGTTTTTCATAATTAAAAACAGGTAAATGATTATGATCTGAATATATTTAAATCCAGATTTTTAATTATTCAGACTTTACTTGTTTTAAAAAAACGGTGAAAAACTATATATTTTTTTTTACCATCCCTATTCGTGTGTATGTTAAATAATTAAAGTCACTTGGGGATTTAGAATATGTAAATAAGTGAAAATTAAAGATCTTATTAATTTACTTTTTTATTATTAATAATAAAATAAGCAATTTTTAATAAGTACAGAAATAGTGACAATTCGAAAAGCATTATTCTTGATTCATATTACATTATACGTATTACATATACATTGATTATTTGATATTTGACCAACCATAATAGATAATGAAAAAATTTACATGCGACAAATCTCGTAATGAAATTTTTTTTTGAATATCACTCCTACGTGCTGCCTTTAGTAAAAAATAATCAAGTTTTAATATCGATACTATATAATGTCTTATTATTTATATTGCAGTATTGTAAATTTAAATTTTGGTACACTTGTGTTGGGTGTTTTGGTTTGCATTAATGTTGTTTTAAAAGTTAATAAGATTGTTGCAAGTTAATATTTTTACTCTTAACTATTGTTAAAAATGTTACTTAATAATAGTACATTCTTTTTAAATATGGGTTGTTAAGATGTTTTTTATAAAGATTTTCCTTCCCGTTTTTTTTTTCTATTTATTTAAAATTCTTAAATCTATATATATTTTTTATTTTATAATAATTAATTATTTTATTAAAAATATTAAACAAATATCTACAAGTTTATTTATAATATTTTATATCGATTATTATTTATTAATTTTAGAAAAAGTCCAGTTCAAATTGATTCAAAAAATCAACTAATTCGAACTTTTTAACTTAATGATGACCATGACCATGACCTTCAGTACCAACAAAATTCATTTTGTAGACATGTCCACATTCTGGGCATCGATCAAATTCATGACTTTTATCCAGAACAATCCATAAAAGTTCATGAGAATCAACAGGAAATCCTAAAAGAAAATGTTAAAATTTTGAATATATATATATATATATGTGTGTGTGTGTGTGTGAATTTGCATTGTCATAAAGTATCCAATTTTTTTACTTTATATTTGCTTTATTAAATTATCGTATGATAATATACGTACCAGTACAACCCACATAACGAATAGGATCAACGCTTTTGACCAAGGTGGGTTCTTTTTTTGTACCAAGTTTGGTTATCTGTAAAGGCTTTGACTCGAACAAATCTTTACCTTCTAAGGCCGCAAGTAATTCAGCACGTTCAAGGCCAGTAGCCTGGTCAACATCAGTTGGTACATGACCGGGCTTTGCACCAGGTCCAAAAAAATTAGGATCAATATCTGAAATAAATTTAAAAAAGGTACTTTATTTAAAAACATAACGACTCAATATAACTTTTAAGGAAACTGTTTTATGAGTGATAAAAAAAAAAAAAAACGAAACCTAAGCGCGGAAAAGACGAACGAAATCCCCTGGAGAAAGACGAAACTTCTGGTGAAAGAAGAAGTTCCTGACGAAAGACCAAGCCCCTGGCAAAAGACGAAACCCTTGGAGAAAGAGAAACCCCCGAAGTTCTAGTAAAAGACTTAGCTAACGAAAACATTTTTCTATGATGTGCGTGCTGTTAAAAAATTACATATCGATATGTGCCGATTTGAGTGATCAAAGAAATTTGTACCACAAATTTGACCAATTAGAGCATGAGTTAGACATGATTTTAACAGTTAAAAGCATAGCTGGCTTTCATTGTGATTGGATAATTTTTGTATATCATCCCGTGATATATGATAGTAAAAATTTTATTGGTTAATCGAAATTAATCGAAGTTCTAAACTTAAATTGACACGCAAAGTTTGCGATAGATGCATATAGTACACTGATACTATATGGTACACCATAGAATGGTTGAAACCAGTCAAGATTGATCATCAAACCTAAATGAGAATCCGCCTTTTCACGAAATAAAAAAAACTGATATGTACAAAAATAACTATATCTATAATGAAATTGATACCAATCATGAAATCTCGATAATTTTAAATCTAAACTATAATCTTATCGAGGACAAAATTCCGATAAACCAACATTTTATAAAGAAATAGTCCTAACATACTACAAATCAAAAAAAGAAAGAAAAACAAACCAAAAACGAAAAATCCAAAAAATAAATGTTTGAACCTATTCTAGAACACTAATAAAAAATAATCAAAGCAACTTCTAGTGTTCGCTCCAATATCAAACTGATCTTTAATTTTATTTAATAATTGCTATACAGTTACAGTTCCACTACTTCATTTTAACTCTTTTCACGAAATCTGTAAATCTTATGATTTTCAACTTCATATTGTTAGCCTATATTATAGTCAGGTTTCTATTCGAATTACTTTGCGGATTACCGAATTACCTTGACAGTCTATTAATTTTTTTTTTTGTCTTACCCCCTAGGAATTCATATTCGTGACTAAGACTTCATAAGATGATCAAAAATCAGCCAATCAAATAAAGCCCGCTATGCTATTATAAAACAAAAAAATTAATTTTTTTTGACATGATCTTGCAATTTAATTGGCTGCGTTAAATTTTTAGTTGTTATCAGATATCTGATATGATACCTGATATATTTAGTTTACGCGACTGACAAATCTTTATTTTCACACATTTTATTTTTATGTTTTCTTCTTTAAGGTTACTATTTATTTTTTACGTTTATATTTTTTTCTTTGACTCTTCTTCTCCGAGGTACTATTTATTTTTTATATTTCTATTTTAATTTGTCTATAATTGTATTTTAATACTAGTTGGTAGAAGAACTTTACATTAACTTTATTTCAAAAGTTACGTTTTCTTCGGGCTTTGAAATATAGTATAGGAGAACCTTACAAGTCGATGAGCAATTTCTTCTGTTGGACACCACTTTCACAAAAACTTTATTTCAAAGTTACGTTTGCTTCGAGCTTTGGAATGTTGAACACCATTTTTTAATTTTAATGCTTCGGACTTTGGGATAAAGTTAGGGGAATTTGGCAAATCGACGAGTAATTTTCTTCTGTTGGACACCACTTTTCGTTTAGTTCTTTTATGATAAGACTTAAATAATCTTTTTTTTTTAAAAAAAAAAAATTTTGTAAACTATAATTAATAAATTTTCTCTTTTTCTTTTCTTGGTCTAAACCCTTCTAGTACACTAACTGTGATTCCATTCTCCTCGTGAATTGAATTGAGCATTTTCCGATTTCTGGTTTTTTCCAACTTGTGATTTAATTAGTTTATAGTTATTGTCAACATTGTTCTAATTATTGTTTTTTTTTTTTTTTTTTTTTTTTATTAGAAGCTTGACAATGATATTATAGTGGATCCTCGTCATCTTCGTTTATAGTTTAGGTGATTATTTATAGTATTATTTAGATCATACTCATTTTGTGAAATTTCGATAAAAGTTTTGCAATAGCGAAATTACTTTTTTCAAAAAATAATTTAGACGTCTACGTATGTGTGTATTATCATAAAATACTAAATAGGGGGTTCAAAATTAATGATTCTACATTTGATTTCGGATGAAATAAGCAAAATAAACGACTTGCAAAGTATATTTTAAGTGTGTGCTTTTTTGTATGATTACTTTTTTTATCAATAATTTTTTAAACTCCTACTCATTTTTGAAATATGTTAATTTTGAACCATCCTATTGTTAGAATTCAAATAAAAAAACTTTTATCGAATTTATTCGAGTGGTTGTCGAGATATCTTCGTTCAAAGTTAATTGAAGTTCTAAATATTGTCACGAATAAAAAAACTAACGAAATTAATACCAGAAAAGTATTTATCATGAAATCTCTAACTTTAAATCTAAAACTATAATAATGTCGCAGTACAAACCAAAATTTTATTGAAGAAATACTGTAGTCCTAACATACTACAAATCAAAAAAGAAAAAAAAAACGAAAAATACAAGAAATAAATACTTAATAAAAAAATAATAATAATAATCAAAAACAACTTTTAGCATTCGCTCTAACATCAAACTGATCTTTAATCTTATTTAATAATCGTTATAACAGTTACAGTACCACTACTTTGCTTTAACTCTTCTCGTGAAATCTATAAACCTTATTACTCTCAACTTCATATTCTTAGCCTATATTATATTCAAGTTTCTATATTAGTTGGGATTACGAAGAATAAGTTTTCACAAAATACGTAAAAGACAGCTTAAATTACCAAGTTTAAGTTAAACCTAAACGTTCAAACATACCTTTCATCTAACTTCCGAATTACTTTGCGGATTACCGAATTACTTTGATGGTTTATTAAGCAAGATGTGAACTTTCTAATTTTTTTTTTTATCTTACCCTCTCAGAATTCATATTTTGTGGCTCGGAATTTAATCTTGTAGACAGAAAATCGTTACTTTGATAAGACTTCATTATGATAAGATCTTCAAAAATCAGCCAATTATTTTATTGGTTTTATATCGATTTCCCAAGCAATTCAATTCTGTTTCAGAGCCCGCATGATAAGAATTCCCGATCAATAACCCCGGTCTTAACCTTCAGCCGAACAAATTTGATTCAAATTAAGTAATGGCTCTTGTTAATATGTAATAACTTATTCCTGTATTGATTTAAAAAAAAAAAAAAAGATTAACGTTAAATCAAAAGGGACACGAACTACCAGTAAAAAAAGTACTGTAACATGACTTTTGTACTACCTTTTGATTGGTTTTACCACAAAATCCCGAAAGACATATTCCCGAAAGGACCTAATACCGACAAGGTTAGCCGGCATTAGTTATAATGTTGGCCAATTTAGTCGGTATTATGCTCTTTCGGGAAAATGGTTTTCGGGATTTTGTGGTAGAACCCTTTTGATTACGCTAGGCATAACAAAAATATAAATATGGTGATTTACTGAGATTAAAAGTGATTTGATCAGTGATCGTAAAATTGCTCATGAATCGCTTATGATCCCATTTTATGAGTAGTGCTCTGAACTGATTAGCTAGAATACACCTGAACCATATCAATTTTGGACTCATATGTAGGCAAAATTTGAATTTTTTTATTTATTTTAATTCTAAAAGTTTTTGTAGAATTCAAATAAAATTTTTTTATCGACTTTGGTTAGGTAGTTGTAAAATATCTGCTCAAAGTTTTAACAAAAACACCTATTAAAGTTGAGCTAAATTTTTTAAAACTGAAAATATCTCGAATAATAAATATACTAACCTGTTAGATGTAATATAAGCTGATGAAAAAATCACAGGCCGTGGTCAGCTTGAGCAGGCCAGCTCAAACTAATCTTTTATTGATGTTATTTTTTCATCTAATATGTGATAATCAATTCTCATTAATATAAAAAGATAGTTGTGCAAACCAGAAATGTTAAATACATAGACTAAAATAAATAAAATAATTTAAAAAGTATTAAGTAAAGGATGAATCTAATTGTAACAACCTGTTACATGTAACTACTTTGGAATAGCTCAAATATATATATATATATATATAAAATTAAAAAATTCGTGCAATGATTTTCGAAAAAATCCGTACAATATTCTTCGAAAAAAATCCGTATAATGTTCCTCAAAAAAAATCCGTGCAACATTCTTCGAAAAAACCGTGCAACACTCTTCGAAAAAACCGTGCAACCATCGTCCAAACCATCGTCCAAACTATTATTTATTATTCTACACGATCTATATGTCTTCCAGAGTTATTTTTTATTAAAAATATTATATAGTTATTGGATGCTATACATCCAATAACAGTTTTATTTGGCAGGTGAAAAAACCATACAGGATTATTTTATCTGCCAAATAAAGAAGCATCTGGCTTTGAATTTAATGTGCTAACCTAGGGTTGTCAAGCACATTAAATTCAAAGTCAGATGTGACTATTATTGGTGCGAAACATCCAATAACGAATTTATTTTTCTTTTTTTTTAATAAATAAATAATTGGGTCTATTTGGCATATACAGTAACACCTGTGACTAAAGTTTACTATTAAAAAGAAAATTAAACAATTTTATTATATATATATATTTTTAAAATAATACAAATATATATTGCTATATAGTATATTATTATAAAAGCTTTTATCTCAAAATTTTACAAAAAATTTTTTTGTTAGAATACAAAAAATAGTTTTATAAATTAAGTAAAAATTTTAATTTTTTAAAAAAGTTATAATTTTTATATTATATTTAATCTTAAATTTTGATTAGTGAAATAGTTTATACTATATTCTAGTAATAAATAATAACTCTTATAAAAATATATTCTTTATTTATAGAATTAATCTAGTTGTCGCCGGCGGCGACAGTCACCGGATTGTGCAATTGAGCTATGGAATCAAAACACACACTGAAGTTAATTATCATTAGAGTCAG